CTGCCCTATTTAAAACAAAAGGGCAGTGTAGCTCCTGGTCCCTCTGTACCTCCACAGCCTGGCTGCTCTCAAAGCGTGCAAAAAAACTGTTTAGCTCATCTGGGAGAGATGCGCACGCAGACACTCCCGCAGCACCCCCCGCTGCTCCTTTGTAGTCAGTCATTGTCCTTAGTCCCGCCCACATATTCCTAGTGTTACAGCCTTTGAAGTCAGATTCCACCTTCTCTTTGTACTGTCTCTTTGCATTTTTTATTGCTCTCCGGAGATCATTAGAGTAACTGAGGTTTGAAATATAGAAAGAACATATTATAGAAATATAGAAAGAACATATTACAGTTAAGCTAAAACATAGTAATGTAATGACACAGAATTTATTTTAGACAACATCTTGTAACTAGCCTGGTAAAGAAATAGAAGTAAAAGCCATGGACTTTATTGTTTAGGTCATTATGGGGATATACATTTACATTTATAATAGAAAGACATTTGATGACAGTATGTTGGAATTCTGTATTCATTTTTCAGCTTGATAATAGACAGGTAGAAGCAGTATTGCCAGGTGCAACTGATGGGATTTCTGCACACGAGCCAAGCAGAGAATGACGTACCTTTTATAGGACAGATACACTCAGGAAATCATTCACTCTGACAGCATTATGACTTCAGTTGTTTTTGAATCCATAATGAAATTGTATTACATAACGTTAGTGTGTGTCTTTACCACAAACAGGAATAGTTCATTGTTATATTTAGATTTGAAAAAGATTACAAGGATTTTATTTAGGAACAACACAGATGCTCATCAGACATTCCGAGCTATTGAAATATGTTATTTAGTTCACCATGAAGATGTTTTATTTTGTTTGTAACATATGCCGAGTATTAAGATTCAGATATCAGCAGGTTCTGAATTATTATTCCTCTGTCCCACAACCAACAAGAATGTGGATGGGGAGAACTATATCTGCTATAACCAGCAGAGATTCCTAAATCACACCAGAGACACAGTAAAAGGATGACACAAACAGTCACATAAAAACAGACCGATAGAATAGCGCTAGACATTAGTTGAAAAAGGGAGTGTGCAACACTGAAGAGGATAGGATTGTTTAAATAAAGAGTAATATTTTCGGATAGTTTTATCCTTCTTATATTTTGTGAAAGAACAAGTGCCTTTACACCAGATACAGTATGAAGATGATATATATGATGTGAAAGGAGGGAGTTCGACGTTTTCCATACCAAGCTAATTGCTGCTATTTTACGAAGTGATATTAAAGGTTTAAGCTAGAAGTTATGCACAAATGAAAAACTTCGCATTTATGATGAATATGTATTGTTACTATTTGTATTTTCTACCCTTTATGAGTTATGTACTATGCAAAGTTCAGATGAAGAACTCATTGATTTCAGTATTATGTTCATACCTTAAAGGGTATGAAAGGAAGGATTGTTGTTAAAAACCAAGCTAATTGCTGCTATTTTGAAAAGTGATATTGAATGTTAAAACTAGAAGTTTAAGCACAAGGGAAAACTTATGTTGAAGACCAACCGAAGTATTTTTTGTATTTTTGATGACTGTTATTTGAACCATTCCATTTTGATAGTATGTTTTTGATATGAGTTATGTACTATGCAAAGTTCAGATGAAGAACTCATTGATTTCAGTATTGTGTTCACACCTTAAAAGGTGTGAAAGGAGGGATTGTTAGAAATTAAAATCAATGTTTTATGGCATAATTTTGTCTAAAACATACCGTCAGTTTAAAAGCAGTCTTATGAAGAACTCATTGATTTCAGTATTGTGTTCACACCTTAAAAGGTGTGAAAGGAGGGATTGTTAGAAATTAAAATCAATGTTGATGTGGCGTAATTTGAATGAAATACACTGTATTTCATTTAAATCTGTTTTATTCTGAAAACCGAAGATTCACATGTGACTTCCGGTTTTCCGTTGGTGAATTTCGTCATTTCCGGTTAGCATTAGCTTGTGGCGAAATGCTACGTTTTCAAACCGTGAATTGAAGGTGAAATAACGTGATGTTGTACACTAAACACCCTGAGTTTAACACTCATTTATTGACGCTGGAATGAGGTTTATTAGGGAATGTTTAGATGACCACAGACATCAGATTGATGTAATTCAGCAGCAGAAACCGACAGGATTTGCATTGGACACGCCCCCGTCGACGCCGGCCAATAGGAGAAGACTACAGGTCTTGCACAGACTCACTCTCTGCTTTGGAAAGCATACAGTCCACAATAACTGTTAGAGAAGATTTCATTATTGAACTTAACCATTACTTACTGAGACTTCAGAGGAGGGGAATAGATGTGCTGTTATGCTGGGTGCCTGCACATGAGGGGGTTCAAGGGAATGAGCATGCTGATAAATTAGCAAAAGATGCGTTACAGAAGGAAATAGCAATACCAGTTTCACTTGGGAAAGGAGAAGGAAAAGCAATAATTAAGAAGAAGGGTATGGAAATATGGCAGAAAAGGTGGGAGGAAGATCAGAAAGGGAGGAGATACCACAAGTTACAGAAATCAGTCATAACAAAGATCTATACAGAAAGGAACAGACGGGAGGAGATCACCATCACTAGACTCAGATTGGATCATACAGGATTAAACGGCACAATGTTTATAATGGTAAAAAGCGAAGTTGAAGAATGCAGGGGATGTGGAGTGAAAGAAAATGTGGAACACATCGTATTACACTGCAACATGTACAAAACAGAGAGGGAACAACTAAGAGACAGGGTCAGAGAGGCAGGAAGGGAGTGGAGCCTGATGGGGACACTGGGGACAGAAGGGTAAGAGCTACCAGGAAGGCCATTCTTAAGTATTTGAGTGAAACAGGATTGATTGGAATAATTTAAAACAACGTAAATACAGTGGTATAATTCCACAAGTGGTGATAGGATGATATGGTGATACACACTCTTGTACAGTAGGTGGCGGTATGCAGTTTAAAGTTGTTTGCAATCCGCCAAAAACCGAGAGAAGAAGAAGAAGCCGACTCCGAGCTGTCCGACTTCAGGCGAGTTTTTTGAGACCTCCCCCGGCTGCGATCGGCTATTCTCGTCTACTTTCGAGGCGAGCCGCAGCTCATCTCAAACAAGCCTATAGATTCAAGCAGGACAATCAACGTGTGCTCGCTCTCTTTTCACGGTACCAGCTGCGAGACAACATCTGCTTTTGTCTCCTCACTACTGTACCTTCTGTTTGTTTTATTACCACGTGACTTAATTAAAGTACCAATTTGAACCTTTTCAGAGACTCCAGTTAGTCTCTTTATTTTAAGCTTCTCTCCTGGACGCGAGAGAATCTGCAATATCTACAGTATCCTACATACAAAAATGTAAAAGATTTCAAAATGTAAGACACGTTGACATAAAAAGTATTTCTCAGTTCATGAATGCATGCATTGGTAAAGAAAATATTTGTCTAATAACTGCCAGAGGTTTTAATCCCCTGCAGTCTGCACTGCTGACGTTTTCCCGACACAATAATACTAAAACACTTCATGTTATTGCATTTTTTAATTGAAAAACCAAAAAGGAAACACTTACAGAGAACGGTCACCGAGATCTAATCCTGTTTACTGATGTTCTGCAAAGCTGGGCCTCATTGAGCATCTTTAGCGAGGTGTTTGTGGATGATTGAATGACTAATGAATGAGCCCTGCTTCAGTTGATCACAGAACTAGTCACTAAACAGCTGTTTCATCCACTGTGTGAAACAAAAGGCTGATCTCTAATCTAACGAACCAAACCATCCTTCAATAAACCAACCAGTGAGTATTCATCTGAAGAAGTGTTCTCGCTGGTGAACTGTAGAAGAATATTGTTTAAAATGTCATCACCAGTTCATCTATTAATACACTTTGGTGTGGGCTTATGTGTTATCTAGTATGAACACTTATTCTTTTTAAAGAATATGTGTATTTATTTTTAAGTAACTGACAGCAGAACTGTTGACGTACAACCTTCAAATCAACCGTAAACCCACCCTAACTCGTACAAACAACACATGAGACCTGCAGCACACGATATCAAGTTATTATTGATGTCTTTGCACAGGTCTCAGAAGGGTCTCCTCTGTCAGCGCGCCTCTCTAGTTTGCACAGGTCTCAGAAGGGTCTCCTCTGTCAGAGCGCCTCTCTAGTTTGCACAGGTCTCAGAAGGGTCTCCTCTGTCAGCGCGCCTCTCTAGTTTGCACAGGTCTCAGAAGGGTCTCCTCTGTCAGAGCGCCTCTCTAGTTTGTGCAGGTCTCAGAAGGGTCTCCTCTGTCAGCGCGCCTCTCTAGTTTGTGCAGGTTCGTCGTGAGTGCAGCAGCATTTTCCTCAAGTCTGAATCCATCAGAAATGAAAAAGTCTTCTGACCGGAGGACGAGGACCGGGGACGTCTCTTCCTGCCTTCTTCACAACCTGCAAATCAACCGTAAAGCCACCTTAACTGGTACAAACAACACATGAGACCTGAAGCACACCATATGAAGTTAGTATTGTTGTCTCTTTGCATGTCTCTGCTCCTTCCTTTACATCCTGTTCCTGCACAGGTTTCACAAGTGTTTCCTCTGTCCTCGCACTCTCCCTCCCTTTACGTTGTTCACACATGTACGTCGTGAGTGCAGCAGCATCTTCCTCCAGTCTGAATCCATCTGAATGTCCTCTGACAGGAGGACGAGGACTGGGCATTTCTCTTCTGTCTTTCCACTCCTTCATTTTCTTTCTCTCCTTCCCGTTCTCCATTCCAAACACACTGTAACGGTTTGTTTTTTCTAATCTACGTCTGGTTAACTTCCTGAACCTCTGTTAAAGAGCCGAGCACAGCCTGTCAGCAGTGGAGGTCCGAACCTTAGACGTACAACCTTCAAATCAACCGTAAACCCACCCTAACTCGTACAAACAACACATGAGACCTGCAGCACACGGTATCAAGTTATTATTGATGTCTTTGCACAGGTCTCAGAAGGGTCTCCTCTGTCAGCGCGCCCTACTCTCTAGTTTGTTGGAGTCCCACTGTCCCCTCCTCTCTGTCCCCTGGAAGCTGTCTTTTCATTGGCTGTCGCTCTCGCCCAGGAGCCAATAGGTGGTCATCTTCCCTTTGCCCTTCACGTCGATCTCTCTTCTCCTCTCCAGCTGGAAGCAGTTAAACTCCTGCAAGATGTCGTGAGTCGCCGCCGACACGTGGATCTTCAGTGCCACACACACACACACACACACACACACACACACACACACACACACACACACACACACACACACACACACACACACACACACACACACACACACACACACACACACACACACACACACACACACACACACACACACACACACACACACACACACCACACACACACACACACACACACACACACACACACACACACACACACACACACACACACACACACACACTCTGGGGCAGTACTCTGAGAGGATGCAGGTGTTGGGGGGGTCGATGCACGCTCCGATGAACCTCGTCAGATGTTCGTTCTGAACGTCCCGCATCTACACACACAGGATACAAAACACATCACAGAGAATACACACATTTGATGATGTTATTATGTCACTGATGACTGAAAACTACTGGCCTGATTTCTTGAAGCTTAAGCCAAAAAAAACCTGTTAAAGTCTATTCTGCTATTTTGGGTTCCCCTCTCCTGTAGTGTGTTAGGCTTTAGTGCATGTAAATGGTCTGCAGACGCTAATATCCCTGTTTTCCCTTCAGAGGGAGTTTCTCTCTCACACATCTCCCCCCCCCCCCCCCCTGCTTGAAACACCTCTATTGGACTCCTTTGTTTACTTCAGGAACATAGTGACATCACTATGGAACATTCATGCTGCTATTGGCTTGCGCTCCAACACATTGTGCGTGATAGGCTAAGGGGCGGGACATACACAGATTGTGTTTTCATTTCGCTAACATTGTGAGATTGCACTGCTTTCATGTGATGTTGCAGTCAAATGAGTTCCCGACTGCAACAACAACTCCGAGACAGATATCAACGTGTTTAAAGGACACTTCTTTAGAGCATCTTGTTCCCACATTTAAGTTCATTAACACGCGCAACTTAGAGGAAAAACACCCCGTCTCCGAGTAGCACCTGAATGCATCATCAGCCTTCTCCATGTGCCTATCCCGTTTAAAATGTGATGATCGTGAATTTTAAAAGAGAACAAACATGGTATGGCCCTCCTTTGTTTCCTTATAAACAAAATGTGTTTAAATCTGAAGGTCACTCACGTGTTTGAGCTCGAACAGGACCTCCCTGTTCAGCTCGAAGCGCTTCCTGTCGGTGTATTTAATGGCCACGATGTTTCCCTGGAGAAACAACATGTTCACTCCAAACGGGACCATTTCACTAAAGGAACAACATGCTGTGTTGAAGAAGACTACACATTGAGAGCATCAACTCATCAGGAAACATTTACTGAGGTGATAAATCAAGAGAGAAGTAGGCTCATTTTCTCATAGACTTCCATACAATCAACCAGTGGAGTCGCCCCCTGCAGGACAGTAGAGAAAGTGCAGCTTTAAGGATCTTTAGCATGTGGCCTTCTCCTAAACTAAATGATTATAGGCAGGGGTGCACATAACTTTTTATGGGAGTTACTCAGATGAGTACCAGGAGACAGGGTTTGGTACTCACCCCACAGGAAGCGTCGTTTCAATAAGTGTATTCCTCCTCACTGTCCTCCTCAGTGTCTTCCTCACTGTCTTCCTCACTGTCCTCTATTTCCACTTCTTGTATGGTAGAGGATGATGCTGCAGATGCACCTCCCTGTTCCTTTTTATGCCTCCGATTTGCCGTCTCCATCCACAGGTCAACAGCTGGCTTTGGGTCAAATGTCTCTGTGGTCTTCTTTGACAGGTGAATGTGCATCAGGGCTGAAAGACGAGCATGTGACAGACGAGATCTGTACTTGGTCTTTATTATGTTTAGATGTGAGAATCCCCTCTCACAAGCTGCACTGCTCAATGGCAGTGTAAGAGACAGTTTAACTAATGTGTTGATGCTGGAGTAAGCATCTGGATTACAATTTATTATTTGGAGCAAGTCATACACAGAGGAGGCAGCCAAGCGTTTTCCTGCTTGCTTTAAACGCATCCATTCTCTCAGAATAGTGTCACTGTCAAGTTGCAAGGTGGCCTCATATTTCTGAAGAATGTTGCAAACGGTTGTGTTGCCAAAACTGTGAATTCCTTGCATTTGCTGAGGCCAAGTTGAAGGATCAAACACTAAGAAGTGATCAGATGACTTGAGGGAGTCATATCTGACTTCAAACTCTTCAATTAACCCCCTGAGTACGTTTGTCTTGTCCCTGTCAGCATCATCATTGGAAACAGTGTGTGTCCTCCTGTAGTGGCCTTCAGCATCGAGCAGAAGTGTGAACTGTCCAATGGCCACCATGAGTTCATCCTTACATTCCCCAATGGTCAGTTTTTCCTTCTGAAACCTAATGGATGTGATCTTCAAAATGTTGCCAATGTCAAGCATGTTGGCCAGAAAACAGTGAAAACGCTCAGAGCATATATGCTTTAAGTCATTGTTATCACTTGTAGCCAGTTGCATTTTAATGGCTGGCAATAGTCTTGATATTTTTAACAGTGTTTCATGCCTCCACGCAGACCATCTGATATTGTGAAACTTACCCAGTTTCACAAAGGGGATCCCATTTTCATGACACCATTTCTTTAGCACAGCAGTGTGTTTTGCTCCACCTTTCTGTAAATAAAACTGGAGCAGCTTGACCACAGATCGATTAAAAGTCTCACAGTAAGGAACGTTGCGATCAGCTGATTTGGCGCAGTTCTCCAGTGTGTGCGCGGTGCACAGGATGTGCACAAGCGAGTCTCCCACCGCAGCCAGTCGGCGTAGTTTTGGCACAACTCCGTTGTACACACCAACGTTAACAGCAGCCCCGTCTGTGCACACAGAGACCAACTTTTTCTTCCAGTCATCCAAGCCTGCCTCCTGGAAAAGCTTCACCAGTCCGTCTGTTATGGCCTGCGCGGTTCGGTCAGCACCCAGTTCAATTAGTCCAAGAAAGTCCGAAGTAAACTCTCCGTTGCTGGACACGGACACGATGTAAACGATCTCCTGCTCGGTTTTTGTGATGTCCTCAGATCCATCAAAAAGTAGCCCCCAAAATTCAGCAGACTTCAACTTTAGTCTCAACTCCCCACTGATAGTTTGCGCAATGGTCTGCATTATTCGTGTCCCCCCTTCACGCGAGTGATATGCGCCTCCGATATTTACTCCTAGCCGCTTCAGTAAAGGAATATCCTCAGCATAGGAAGACATAGGACGTGCATGTTTAGCTTTATGAAAGGCGAGGAGAAAAATATTACACAGGGCTTGCCGTTGCTCTTCATTCAGCTTGCCTTGCCATCTAGCAAGTGGGTGGTTGGATAGTTCTTCTGTAGTAGCTTGTTTATTAGCAATAACTTGTGCCACATTAACATGCTCCTTGCTCTTTTCATGTTTTTCAAACAAAGGGTGGTTGACATTTTTCGAGCCTGTATAAAACGTACCCGTTTTGTCTGCTAGATGTGGATGCGAGCGGCATATTTTGCACCACATTTCAGTGCGCTCATCATCGGCATCCAGCCACGGCACGTCTTGGAGCCACTTAACAGAAAATAATCGTTTCTTCGGCTCTGGCTCGGTTTGTTGTTTCTTTGCAGGTGGCGAAACGCCAAAGTAGTTGCTCAGTGTTTTTTGTTTTTTCGACATGTCTACTCCATTGAATTTTTACATGAAACACGTGTACACCAAATATGTTTTGATTTGACCAGGTACGCAAAGGCGCGCAATGACTCACGGGACGTTACGCATTCCACATTTTGGCCGCGCATGCGTACCTGCGTACCAGTTATGTGCACCCCTGATTATAGGATATCTCTGTGCACCACTCAGCAGCCATAACAATATAGAAAGGAATTGGAAAATAGGGGATACATGTGGTGCATAATATAACGTGTTTCTTCTAATGTAAACTCACCTTAAAATATCCAGTTTTTGCAAAAACCTGCATGTTTCCATCCCCAGTCATCAGGGAGCCGTAGTTAGAGCCTCTCTGCAGAAAGAGAGGGTGGAAATAACCGTCAGCCATTCAAAGTACTGAATTCAAAACCTTACTGAAGCTAAATGTAGTTAAAGTACCTAAAGTAAAATGTTTTATATCGTATATGATGAGTGTGGATTACTGCAGCGTTGATGTGTATGTTTTATATAATGTTGGCTAGTTTAATCTGCAGCAATGCTTCATATTCTATATATATCCTCTTGTGTTTTCATCTCGTTGTTTTTACTGTTTTTTCTTACACATTATTCAGATATTCTTTTTCAATACGTTTTCAGAAATGTTTTAGACGTGTTTCACATATATTTAGGGGATTCGTTCAGATATATTCCACTTTTTCTTAGGATATATTTTTGTATAGTACTCTTTATGCATTTTTAGGCTATTTTGCAGACTTTATTCACATTTATTTGGCTATTTTTAAAACATTTTCCACTCATTTTTAGGATATTTTTGTATATCTTTTACAGGCATTTTTTTTTTTTTTTCAATTCAGGAATTCAGAGACGTGCAGAAACACTTAATAAGAGTGTGTGTGTGTGTGTGTGTGTGTGTGTGTGTGTGCGTGCGTGCGTGTGTGTGCGTGTGTGAGCTGACCAGTGACAGTGTGATCCTGCTGCCGCTCCGCAGCACTTTCTCCAGGTTCCCCATCTGAATGTCGTTCCAGGAGATCCTCCAGAGCTGAGCCACCAGCTCCTTCTCCAGCTTCATCCTCCTGCAGGGGGGGGGACAACAACAACAACAACTGTCTGTAGATCACATGACTCCTTCTGATGTTACTGCAGATCTGCTGTAAGCTAGCTAGCTAACGTAGCTAACCTAGTCATTTCAGATATACTAGCATCCTATAAGGTGTCTGCAGGAGCCATTTATACTGCAATATTATTTTTGGACACTTGGTGGCGGGGTTTAGCTGCACTGGGTGTATAAAAGGGGTCATAGGTGACCGGAAGAAGAGGACACAGGAGGAAGAGCACACCGATTCCACCAGCCCGGCAGATGCTCATAGAATATAGGGCATTGGAACATTAAAGTTGCCATTACAGTGTCTATATAGCTGATGTCATTTAATCATATCATTTCATATCTAAAATAAGTGTAATCTTTCTGATCTAATAATAGTCAGTAGGGGCTTGGAGCCGTAGGGTCGCCGGTTCAAGTCCCCGAACAGACCTAAATATGGAGAGTGGACAGCTACTTGGTCCCAGTTCACCTCCTGGGCCCTGCCGTGGTGCCCCTGAGCAAGGCACCGGACACCCCCCACTCGCCCACTCCTGCGCTGTGCAATATCTGCCCACTGCTCCCAGTACTAGGATGGGTTAAAAGCTGCGTGCGTGTATGTGTCACCATTAAACAGGGTTTCATCCTCCAAGTCTATATATTCTATAGAAATATGTTTGTTTACCTAATCAACCAAAGCATGTTTTATAGATAGATTCTGAACAATATTAGTTTTCTTATCGTAATATCTAGCTGTGGTTTATAACAGTTTATATTCTCCCTCTTCCCTAAAGCAGCCCAGATGAAGTCCCACTGACACCAGGTCAGCACCGAGACCCCGGCTCTGCTGAACATACTATTAAAAGCTTTTCTTATTAATATAATTAAACTAAATTAAAGACTGTTTACATTACATTACATGACATGTCACTTGTTAGACGCTTTTATCCAAAGCGACGTACATACTCAATACTGTGGACAATCCCCACAGGAGCACTTTGGGGTGAAGTGTCTCAGGGACACAACGACATGCTGACTGCAGTGGGGTTTGAACCTGTGCTCCCCTGATCCGAACACCAACGCCCAACATTAGCCTCCTTTAGCTTAGTGGTGGTGAGGTGAAGTCATGTGACCGTGCTGTAGTTCCTTTATAGCCCAACATTAGCCGCCTTTAGCTTAGCGGTGGTGACGTGAAGTCATGTGACCGTGCTGTAGTTCCTTTATAGCCCAACATTAGCCTCCTTTAGCTTAGCGGTGGTGACGTGAAGTCATGTGACCGTGCTGTAGTTCCTTTATAGCCCAACATTAGCCGCCTTTAGCTTAGCGGTGGTGACGTGTTAGCTTCTTACTTCAGAAATAAAGTGGTGTTAATATGGAGATTATCCTGCTGAACTCCCTGGGATGATTACAGTTTGATGAAGAGCACGGCGGTGACCAAGGCGAAGCCGGCCAGCAGCGAGGCCACCCTGGGGATGCGGTTCCCTCCGGAGCCCAGCTCGTGCGGCAGGATCTCCATGAAGGTGATGTAGAGGAAGCTTCCCGCCGCCAGACCCTGCAGCGTGCAGCGGGCCAGCCGGTGCTGCCGGGGCGCCTTCGTCTCCGAGAGCGCCGAGCCCAGGCCGAGGCCCAGCGGCAGCATGGCGGCAAACAGCAGCAGGCAGCCGGCCACCAGGGGGAGCCGCAGCCGGCCCCGTGACAGCGTGCAGGCCAGGCTGAAGGAGATGATGCTCTTGTGGACCATCAGCCCCAGAGTCAGAACTGAACATGGGGAAGAAGCATTCAGTTCAGAGGGGAAGCGTACTCAGATGTTGTACTTCAGTACTTTTACCTTTACTTGTCACAATGTATTCCTACTCTATGGTAAAGTAAGTATCAGAGTTTAGGAATACTCTGTTACAAGTAAAAGTCCTACAGTCAAAATGTTACTCAAGTAAAAGTAGAAAAGTAACTAAATGTATTAAATACATGTAGTGGAGTAAAAGTACACGATTAGCTTGTTTTATGTTTGTTTTATTCTCTTTCCTTTTTAATGACCATTTCATAACGTGTTTCCGTGACACTATTTCTTAATGCATGTTTTTCATTTGTGTACAGTACTTTGAATTGCCTTTGAAAGATGCTGTATAGATAAACTTGCCTTGCCTTGCCACGTAGATCTCCTGCAGGCCCACGGCCAGCCCCTCCAACACGGAGTGCAGCGACAGCGAGAAGACCAGGACGAAGGAGCGCAGGGCCGACTGCGCGCTCAGGTCCACGTGGAAGAGGCTGCCGCCGGACTCCTCTGACGCGCCGTGGCGGTGGGAGTTGACGCTGGAGTTCGGCAGCAGAGCGCGACACTCCTTCATCTGAGGCTGGTCCTTAAAGGCCAGGATGACCTGCTCCAGAACCAGAACCAGGAAGAAACCCATCGCCATGATGAACTCAGGCAGAGGGAACTGAAGCTGCGGGGAGAGAAGAAGACGCCGCTGACGAGGGTGAACGACGACTATCAGATTTGGTATTGAAAGTGTCTAAAGGAGAACAAACATTAGCCGCCTTTAGCTTAGCGTGGTGATGTGAAGTCATGTGACCGTACTGTAGTTCATTTATAGCCTAACGTTAGCCACCTTTAGCTCAGCTGTGGGGACGTAAAGTCATGTGATGTTCCTGTGTGTGTGTGTGTGTGTGTGTGTGTGTGTGTGTGTGTGTGTGTGTGTGTGTGTGTGTGTGTGTGTGTGTGTGTGTGTGTGTGTGTGTGTGTTATATCATCTTACGGTGACCCCCGCGCTGCTGAAGGCCTCCTCGATGCTCTGCAAGGAGTCCGGCAGCTGCTCCAGCAGACAGGTGGCCAAAAACACTCCTCCTGCAAAACAGCTGATCAGGCTGAGCAGCCTGCGCCGGAAACCTGCAAGACAACGCTCAGGGATCAACCTGACGCCTGCTGCTTCAGTACTGATACCTCAATGTGAAAATACTCCGTTACAAGTATACAAGTATATATATATATATTCAAAACCAAATTTAGGTAAAAGTATTATCAGTAAAACTTAGTTAAAGTACATAGAGTAATAGTTGTATTATTATTATTATTATTATTATGACCTGGGTCCATATATTGTTATTTTATTAACATTAGTATTATTATTATCATCATTATTATTATTATTTGTATTATTTTAAATTCCAATATTAATATTATTTGTAGTATTGTAACGTCCGAGGTGTTAAGGCTTCAAGAATACTTCTGTGTAACAAGAACTCAGGAACTTAGTACTTTTTGGAGCGTCACAGATGCCTCCGTTTATTAACGTCGAGTCACACCCAAGTCACACACCACTCTAGCCCCGACTGCGCATGCTCACAACACATGACCTCTCAACCCAATGCTTACATGCGTCCCCCCTTACTGAAAGAAATGTCCCCATTTCCACACACATGGTGAAAACACAACAAAACATAAAAAAACAATACAACCACGAAAAACCCCAAAAACATAACAAACCACACACTACCCCGCAGAATAATACATGCAGGCATGACGTACATTCGAAAAAAAAATCTTTGAATAAAAACAATGACAAACAAAACACATCCACAGCCCAAATAAAACATCAAACTAGGTATGACATAACTTATTCCCCTGTCCTGCACACTCGAAACATGAAAAAAAACCAATTATGCAGCATAGAATACACAGGAGAAAATAATCACACAAGCACGTAACCCCCAGTCATTCAGCCCATAACAAAGTCCAAAAATCGGACAGGAGGCCGCGCTAACCTCCCAGCCCGGGACACCGTCGGTGCGGCTTGTTCGAGCTCAGGGGAATCACCAGCCCCAGAACCCGGCCCAAGATCACAGCCACTTTCCCCATCGGAAAACCTCAAGCGTCCAGAGCTCTGTGGGGAGACTGCATCTTGCAACGGAAGAGGCTGAGAAAGGTGTAAGAGAGACCTTGATGGTCCCTCCAAGGGAAAGGCTACCGGCAGGTTGTATCGCCGTAGTCTGTCGTAATGGACAGTTTGGAGAGAGGCTTCATCCCCAAACGGGCTACTTAGTTGGTACGTGACCCCCACTTCATCACCCCTATCCATTCGCCTCTGCACCAGATAAGGCCCCTTCCAGTGGGGAGCCAGTTTACGGCGGCTCTCAGTGGGATCATTTAACCACACCAAATCCCCGACTTCATACGGGTCGTGCCTCACTCTGGCGTCATAGTACGACTTCTGTTTGCTGCTTGCAGCAAAATTGTTATCCCTTGTCTGATCAAACGCCGTGTCCAAGCGTCTGAGAAGGGAACCAGCAAAGTCTTCCCGGGGACCCTGCACCAGATCATCCCGCTTTGGACCCAGTAACACATCCACAGGAGTCCTGGCCTCCCTGCCATGCGTGAGAAAATACGGCGTGAAGCCTGTGCTGGAATGTACACTGGTATTGTACGCAAATGCGACCTGTGACAGAAAAGAGTCCCACTCCCCCTCACATGATAGAAGAGATTTCGCCAACTGATCGATAAGTGTCCTATTAAACCTCTCTACCATGCCATCAGACTTCGGATTGTAAGGCGTGGTGTGCGTCTTCTTCACACCTAACACGCCGCACAAATGCCTCACAACATCTGATTCTAACTGTCTGCCCATATCAGTGTGCAGAGTTTCCATTACCCCATGCTCCAAGATGTAGTTCTGGAAGAGACACTCCGCGACCGTCGGGGCTTTTTGATCGGGGATGGCATACAGATTTACAAATTTTGTGAAATAGTCCTCAACAACCAACACATACCGGTTGCCTTTTGATGTGACCGGCAACTCCAGTATGTCAGCCGCCACCCGCTGGAAAGGTCTAACTGCATGTGAAGTTCTCATGGGGGCATGGTGTTTAGGCACCGGGGACTTCCTTCTCTGACAGGCATAACATTGGTCACACCACGAACGAATGTCACTGTGCATGGAGGCCCAATAGCACACACTTCTTGCGCGTGCCAAAACGCGATCATACGCCAGGTGAGCAGTCAGTGGAGCACCATGCAAGTGTCCCAGGACCTCTGGAACTAAGACAGCAGGAACAACAACCTGAGTAGACTGCCCTGCCTCAGACAGCCAAACAACTCTACATAAAAGTCCCTCCACAAAAGTCAGCCGGGGAAACTCATGCCAAAGTCTCTTCACACCCCGACTAGCATCTTTTAACCTCCATCTAGGGGGCCGTTGGCCATGCTCCAGCCAGGCCAAAACTTGTCCGATGTCTGCATCCTTTTGCTGGAGCTCCCTAATACCGGAGCCATCATGTGACAGAGTGAAGATTAGGGTCTGGTCCACTGAAGACCCTGAGTCAGGAGAAGGAGGTCCTGAAATCGGTCCCTGGGCTTGGGCTGTGGCAGGAGTGCCCACAGCACACACATCACTAGGACCACTGTCCCCAGCGCCAGGGAGAATTGTATTCAAGGGAGCGGATGTGGCATCGAGACTGCCTGAGTTCTCCAAAGCTTCAGTGGTGTCAGGCCTGCGTGAAAGGGCATCTGCATTTGTGTGTTTGGCCCCACTCTTGTGCACAATCATCCAGTCGTATGGGTCCAGCTCCAGAGCCCAACGGCTACGACGCCCCGTCCTGTCATTGTCAACCTGAAGTCGTCGCAGACCCAACAAAGGTTGATGATCTGTGATAATTGTGAAGGGGAGAAGACCCAAGTAATGCCTGAAATTACGCACTGCCCACACTATCGCCCACAGCTCCCTGTCGTAGGTGGACCAACGCCGTTCAGCTGCTGTGAGGGAGCGACTAGCGTAGGCCACCACTCTCTCCAGGCCATCCACTTCTTGTGACAGCACAGCCCCCACAGCAATCTGCGAAGCATCTGTACCCAGCACGAAACTCTTGGTGAAGTCCGGGTGACACATGATAGGTTCGGCACAAAGACCATCCCGCAAAAACTCAAATGCCCCCTGGCAATCCGCCGTCCACTGAAAAGGGACATCCTTCCCTGTCAGATGGTTGAGGGGGGCAGCACGCTGGGCAA